GGGGGGGGGGGAGGAGGTGTGCAAAGAAAAATGGAATTTCATTGTTTTGTTTTCAAACAGTTTCTGCCGTTTTGATCAAGAGGGGATTTAGATATTCAAATCCATCGAATTCTGATTGGTCGATTGCCCGAATAATCTCACTATAGGCGAAACAAAAAAATAAGTTATTAGACTTTTTATTACCAAACACATAGTAGAGTCCATATTAAAAGAGATCTGTACTTTGTGCCCGTTTTATATAACTTAGTTCAAATTCTAAAGTATATCCTTTCTCCTATTAGATACTATAAATAGGCCCCTGTCATAATAAAACGTCCATGGAAAACTAATAAGAATAATCAGCAAATATTTGTGCTCAATTGAGTGCGACTAGACTGAGACCGAAAAGAAGCTATTATAGATATTTCTACTTAACTCCATATATGATAAACGGGTTTTCACTCGTATGACGATGCAAATTAAACAACATTCAAAAATTAAAAATCCACAGATTTGAAGAATAGACAAATAGTTGGTACCCCAAGATACTATTTCCTGACTTTTTCAGTTAAGGCTGAAATGTTTCCAAACTATTTTCAAGCTTTGACTAATAACAACACACATACACACAATAGCGTTTTAGAACTTTCCTTGCTCTGATTATCGGTGCAAACTCTGGAACTATACGACACCCAAGTACTGAATAAGTATTAACCATTAAGCACAGTGATAATACAGAGATGAAAGTAGGCAAAGTTGGTAGCATCGTCAGAACAAGCAGGTTAAAATACGAGAATATGCTAAAGTACAAGGCGAAAATTCTGCAAAAAAAAGATGACTGCTTCCACCCCCATTCTCTTGAATCCTTTGATGTCTATTTTTCCTATCATTCTGCCCAATATATTCAAGGTCTAATAAATTGATAGCACGATTACTAGACAAAAATTTAACCCCCCCCCCCCTCCCCAAAAGATCAATTAAAAAGAAAAAATTTGGAAGAATGATAAAATAGTACATGCTAGATTCTCAAAAACACCCTCAATGTAAATCAGAAAAAAAGTTAGAATTCTCTACTTCACAGCAGATAAAAAACAACTCGTCAAAGTCAACTTACGGATCATCTGGCGTGAAACAGACTTCCTCATTCGTGAAGGTGGGATCAAAGTGGATGAGGCTGAATTCATCCGTCTCCTCAGGTCTGAAGGGAGGAGGAACGCGCTTCTGCTCTAATGCTACCCAATCAATGGAGGAGAAGAAAGGCTGATTTTGGATATCAGCAAAGTTTGAATTCGGTGAGCAGCCTAACCGATCAGTTGGATCCTGCAAAAAAAAACACCACAAAAGAAAAATAATATCCTTTCATTAAACACCATCAGGAAGACTACAATCAACGCATCTCTTGTCTCATCACAAAATCTGTCAATTTCAGCACATATCCTAACGTGTCATTCACTCTATTAGTGGCAGTTCCACAGGTTGATAGGTATTTTCATCACATCCTATATTTAATATATCCGGGGTGTGCGATAGACTTACCTCCACGTGGTGCACCTTGGCCAACGTATACTCATGCGGCAAAAAAGTCCATAAACCGGCAGTTGACTTCTGAATTCAAGCCATCATGACCCCACTGTATGTCACATTCGACCACTTCCACAGTACTCACCTCACCTTTCATCTACCTTTGTGTCTGTCTCTTTTGCATATTTAAAACACTCTTCTGTTCCCCTCCCCACCCCTCTCGACTTTTTTCGCTTTGATGTTCCTCTCCCTATGTGAAGCTTGAAGTCAACTAAAGGGCTAATGATAACTATCATAGGGCCTGCCATTTGATATAAATAAATATTTAATATATCCTAGAAAATCGATGTCATAATCTCATTAGTCTCTAAAAATAGCCAAAATCCCAGAACTCAGGGAAAAAAACACGTAAATCCCTTAAATTGTTGGTTCAATTTTTCATTCTTAACTCATTTTCGTCGAATACATCAAGACGGAAATCGCTTCTAAATACACTTAAACATAGAATCCACTTTGAATCTTTATACAGGTCATGTGAATGTACCGGAGTAACGCTTAACCCGTGGTCGAGCTGGGTCTCTGAAGTTTAGGGGTTCCTCATCAGAGAAAGGTAATAAACCTCGTTTGAACCTGATTTCCATTTGGAAGTTAACAATATGTAAACAGAAATTAGATATTTGCTATGACGAAAACCAAATCTGGGCAAAAATTAGACTAAATTGAGAATTCCTTCCAGTGTCTCTTCTCACTGTGGGATGAGAAGTTGCCTTCCACATCGACAACAAGTTAATCATCCAGAAAATTGACGCCAAACGGAGGGCGCAAAAAGGGAAAAGTTACCATCACAAAAAAGTCCCCAAATCGAATTGAAGGGAGTTGGATAATAATTTGGTACGCTCTAGTTGGTGAAGACTTGGGGGGGGGGGGGGGAAAGAGGCAAATGAGGTCATTTCGGACATTAATCAGAAGTTCCTTGGGTCAACGTGAAACTCAAGAGCTTCAGTTCGAGAGCACATACACTGATCATAGGGAGAAATAAGCATAGCCGCTTATTAGGCCTAAACTGCCGCTTGTGCGACTACAATTGATACTGCTCTCCAGGAGTTATAAGCATATTTAGCAAGGCCAACTTTCTCAGGTTGCTTTCATCTACCATTTATTAGGTTGGCAACTAAGTCGTTGCCGATATCAAATAAGAAGGCAAATTCGGAATTTTTGTTTAAAAATATAACTTCATTCAATTAGATATTGGCCGTTCTTGTCGATGACCTTTTTCCATCGTTCTGGCAGAGTAAAAATTCCCCGTTCGTAAAATGTCTGGTCTTTGCTATTAAAAAACTGAATTAGGTGTGATCCGACATCATCCGCGTTGTTAAACATTTTACCATTTAAAGAGTTTTGCATGGAACGAAACAAATGGTAATCCGAAGGCGCAAGGTCAGGGCTATAAAACATCCCGACCCAGTTCCAATAATTTTGGCCAAGTAACCAAAGATGTGGGGCCTTGCGTTATCATGATGGAAAACAACACCCT